TTTTTACTGTAGGGAATCAACCTCATAAATGCACTTATAGATGAGTATAGTCTTCCTGTTGTGCAAGCCTACATGGGTTACATTCAGGTATGGTAACATTTTATTGTTACTCTGAAAAGTGATTACATTATGGCATCACTATAAAAACCTCAAGTATACTCCAGTTTTGACTGCTTTGATCTCAGTTTAAAGAACTTCACTGGAAACATGCTTCAATAAAATAAGTATAAATGAAATATATCAATTCATTTGTTCATGAAGTTCAGTTGAACTTTTTTTTGTGGAAGTTCATCATAATTATACCCAAAGTTTGTCAAGAGTATGTTGAATTTCTGTAAGAGTACTAACAAATTTTATCAATCTTTCTTTTTAGCAAAATGCTGAGTTGGCTGTTAGAGAAATGCTCACAGAAATTGGTCTGAAAACAAAAGTAAGGATGAAATGAGTGCTATGTTATTCTTAATTAATAATTAAAAATAATGTTATTCTTAAAATTTAACTGTGTTCTAAGCAAATGCTATGTTTTGTCAAATTTGTATATGTCAATAAAAGTAGTCTAACAGTAACTGCTTCCTGTAATAGGAAAGAACAGGAAAGTCAGTATTGCATGCATTGGAACATATGGATGATGGGACTCCAATTAATCTTACAATTTCTATTGATGAAAACAAGGTACCTACAGTTCATTTTGAATGGCTTTTTTTTTTAATTTTTACTTTTTTGTTGCTTCTTGTTTTATTTTTGCTAAGGATGGGATTGGTGCAGAACGAAAGACTCTCTGCATTGATTCTATCTTCTCTTACCTGCTGGATTATAGCAAAAATTATTTAAACTCATTTAAAGGCGATTGTACCTAAAAGAAGACATCAATAATTTTTGTATCTGGTTACAGGGGTCAGCAGTATTTAATTTTGCTGGAACAGGCCAGGAGTCATATGGAAACTGTAATGCTCCACGGGCCATTTCTCTTTCTGCTATTATCTATTGTTTACGAAGCATGGTTAAGCATGATATTCCTCTTAATCAGGTACAAGAACAAACAATTGTAAAGTCTAATGAAAGTATTTTTACATAATTATTAAACAATCAAGAAGTGTGATGAAATATTCATAAAAGCAAACCTAACTCAAGTAAAACTGGTCTCTTTGAATGTGTTGGTGTGTTATTGTATACAAAGAGCACCAGGACTGGTAGCATTTAATTGGAGCCGGTGCATAATGAAATTTTGACGGTAACCTTGAACTTACATTCAAACCTGGGCAAAAACTTTGCAATCAGTTCATGTTAACTTTGTTGGTGGAAGCATAATCATCTCCTGATTTATCCATAAAATCAAGCAGTTTGAGCATGGGTGTTGGGCTGGGTAATGGTATAGTGTTCTGGTACTGAGCGAGACCGTTATCCCTCTTTTCCACAAGTTCATCCCTGTCAACTCTTCTGGCTTGTCTTAGGTTCTCCAGGATATGGAAAAAATCTTCTGGTCTCTTATACAGTTGCCTAAATATCCTGGATAATATTAAGTGGGGTGCAATAAGAAAATTTTGGTTTGTGGGGAAAGACTCAGATAAAGCAGTTAATCAACAAATTTTGGCTAGGGAGGGGATCATACAAAAAGAATCCTCCAAATTGCAGATGTTTAAGTTACTCAGCAAACTGCTGTGCTGTTTCTTGCAGGGTTGTCTGGTGCCAGTAAAAGTACATATTCCTCCTGGTTGTCTTTTAGATCCTTCGCCCTCTGCAGCAGTGGTTGGAGGAAGTGTCCTGACCTCACAGAGGGTTGTGGATGTCGTTCTCAAGGCTTTTGGTGTATGTGCAGCATCACAGGTAATGAAAAGTTAACATTCTTATATAAGTTACTTAATGAGTACTTGGAGAACTATCCTGTGTTGTCAGTAGAATCCCTTGGGTTGCCTGCAAACTGGCCTGAGATGTTGGTTATCTTACCTCAGTTATCAGCAAACTTACCAGGGTCAATAACAGACTTGTTTGAGAGGTTAGTTAACTTGCCACAATGGTTGGCAAATGGTTTTAAGGTTTAGTTGAAATTGCCAGAGTTATCTGCAAGCTTGCCTAAGTTGATTTGTCTGCAAACTCACCTCAAACTAGCTAGGGTTGTCTGTAAACTTGTCTTAGTTGTCGGCAAAATGGCATAAGTCGTGGGCAAGCTGTCGCAAGTTGTCAGTGATCTCACAAACTTATTTCCTCTTTCAGGGCTGTATGAATAACACAACTTTTGGTGACGAAGGTTTTGGCTATTATGAGACTGTGGCTGGTGGTGCAGGCGCTGTAAGTTTTAAACTAAAAATGCTCTCTGGGCATGTTTATCTTTGACATTTCCATCTTCATGCACCATTGCCGCCATGGCAATTGTCATTGTCATGTACTTTAAAGCATACAAGGGAAGTAAACTACAAAATAGTTCTGATTACACACACATACAGCACTAGCATTTGCATTGTGACATACCCTTTGAATATATGATAGAAATGAGTTGGAGTTTCTGTTAAGGGTCCTACATGGATTGGACGAAGTGGTGTCCACACCCACATGACAAATACACGGATAACAGACCCAGAGATCATAGAGCGAAGGTATGTAAAGAGAAAGTAGTACTGCCTGGAGTATTCTCAAAGGGCACAACAGCAACAATTATGAAAGCATTTAAATGTTATTGTGATCCAAAGAGAAGCTACTTAGTAGCTTATTGTGTTTCTTCTTGGGTAACTATGAACATTTCAGTTTGCCCTGGTCTGCCATTAGTCAACTTATTTTTAGTTTTGCCATCAACTCTGAAACTTATTAAAACTAACAAGTATACTCTGGTGTTCAGTCATTAAAATTTGTGATATGGTGAAATCACTCCTAACCCTTTTAAGATCAAGACTCTAGTTTGGGCAGCCATTATTATCCTCAAAAAAGAAAAAAAAAGGCTGGAGCAACAAACAGAAGCAAGTTCATATGATCACAAAACAGTAACAGCTGATTCACTGGGAGACAAATAAATTAAAATCCTAAGATTATAAGCTAGAACTGCTACACTATATAGATAGTGCCACAAAATATTGGACTGACAAGCAGGCTGATCTGCAAACATTTTGGGAAAAGGCAGATCACAATTGCTACATTGTATTCATTTGCAATTTGTATCCTACCCAGAAACTGGTCCCATACTACATGTGTCCAAGATGTTACATTCCTTGTCATTCCCTATAGGTATCCTGTTATTCTTCTTCACTTTCATCTCAACCCTGGTACTGGAGGTGATGGTTTTTACAAGGGAGGGGATGGTGTCATTCGAGAGTTGATGTTCAGAAGAAAACAAGTCTTGTCAGTTTTGTGTGAGAGGAGATCAGCATTTCAACCCTATGGACTACAAGGTATAGAAAAGGGGTCAATATCAGTATCTGGGCAACTGCCCATCTACCCCTCCCCTAACTCAACAACAGTCAATTTATAACAAGTTAGGGTTAATATTGGGTTAGGGAAGGGGTAGGTGGGCAGTTGCCCAGATACTGATATTGATCCAAGAAAAGTACTCAGCCCATAAGACAACACACTTCTTTCCCTTCCTCCTACTTTTGGGTAAGTATCAATATCACACACCAGCTTTTCTGTGTTATGTTCAGGAGATCCTAAAGATGGGCTGTAGCTCAGTCACCTTTGCGATGGTCTTGTTGCTCAGGAGACTGCTGCCCTCCTCTCTCACTGCCTTAATGACACCTACCCTTCAATACTATTGATGAAGTGTTTTAATTACCTGTACACTAAAAATCACTTCATTACAACATATTACTTCATTTTAATGAGGAAGTGATTCCACTTGGTCCATTTTTTGGTCATCATCAATCTTCAGATGCAGAATCATCATCAACATTTTGTTTTACATAGATTTACACTAATACCTTTTGTAGAAATGCACAAAAAATGTGGATCTTCAATTTATGCATGGGCCTTTGTGATATGCAATCACAAATGTCCATTTCCTTGGTTTGTAAATCCTACATTATTTACTTTGTTGAGCTCCTACTGTTACCATGCTGCCCTTTCAGCTGGGTAGACAACCCCATCCTCTCTCCTTTAGGAAGTGAGAATTTGTTTTTGTGACCTTAAAACAGTGTCAATAAATTTTTATCAGGAGGAAGACCAGGAAGTATGGGCATCAATCTTTTAATTCAAAACAGTGGAAAAGTAATCAACATTGGCTCCAAAACAACTATTGAAGTTGGTGCAGGGGTGAGGCATTTCACACACTTTGTACCTTTGCAAACAATAACATCTCTTTTTATAAGATACACCTTACAGTCAAGTATGCACAGAAATGAAGATTGGCCTGTTTTCCATAAAATTGTCCCCATCATCACAGTTTTTGAGCAAAATGGGAGGACTAGGCCATTAATATGGAAGCAGTGAGGTTTTAGGGCAAACTACAAAAATTGGGGTTACCAAAGGGTTACTTAAAAATCTCATGCCTCCAAAGTTACCATTCCTTGGGGCAAAATATTCATTTATTGTGTTTTTTTTAATGTAGGATTGTCTTAGAATCCAGACCCCTGGTGGAGGTGGATATGGAAATCCACTAAATGACAAAACTTAAAGAAGACTGGATTCCAGGATGCAGAACTCATCAAGCCAGAAAATTTTTTTAAAGCAATTGTAAAATACGTTCTCAAAAACCATGTAATGGAGATATTTTTTTAATACAGTTCTACAACCCATTTTATTATTTTTGAACTTTTCAACTTAACAAAGCTGCAAAAGATTCTTTTTAACATCCATTTAGACATAAATTCCATGTTCAACATTGACTCTAAAATAAATGTCTACTCAAAAAAGAGAGTTTGTTTCAATTGGACAAAGCCTTTTTTTTTTTTTTTTTTTTGGGGGGGGGGGGGGGGAAGTAAAGGGGGGTATGGTTGACCTGCAATGGACCAACCACAGAAACTGGAGTAAGCTGTTAGGCTGAATGGGCCATTAGGCATCAGAACTAAGATGAACAAAATTAGCTGACAAACTTTAATGAGTTCTCTCATACCAACTTGAAAATTATCATGAGTCTGCATACAAATATACAATTTTTTTTGTTCCTTAATGTTCTCAGTGGAATAATTTTTTTAAAAATTTCAACAGCCTACCTAAATAATTACACTCTGTAAGCTTCAACATGCTCTATGTGGTTATGTACACAAGTCACAGTAAATTACTGTGAAATGATTGATAGTGTGGTACGTCTAGGCAATTCACACCCTACTCTGCCCCTCTTTCAACAGAGAAAGTTTAAAAGTTGTAGAAATTTGATGCAAAATGCAAATACCTGCTATAATACAAACACTTCTGAAAAACCTTGAAAATAATAAAAAAATCCTGTCCAGTCATGATACTTACACTAAAATGTTGTTTATGTTAAAACAAGTTTTACAATGCAGTCACTGACTCCAGCACAACCAGAACTCCAAATAATATACTTAAAATATTCACTTAATTAAGTCTTCATCCTCTTCAACAAAAATTTTATAAACAGGAAGAAAAACAAAACTAGTTGTTTTTTAGTCAATGACACCATAAAAAAAACTTGCCTCCTAAAACTTTTTTCATTTAGTAATTCATCCATTAACTACCAAGATCTAATAACCATTTGGTAAATTAACTGTTTTATCAAGGTGAGTTTGATTATCCTCCTCACCTCTTTCCTGGATAACTATGATGTTATGTTAATCCCCTCTAGAAGTTATAGCATCAAAAAAATGTTGCTGGAGTCAAACTTTTTCAGGTAAGTAGCAGCTTATTTTGACCCCTGCCTATTTAAAGCTACTTTTACTACTATGTTTGTCACTTTAAAACAGATCTGTCATGCAAATTACTTTACTTAAAAGAAGGAAAAAAAATTGTGGACAGCCCTTCAGAATCATTAAAAAAAAATCCTTCTTTAAAATTTAAAAAATACTCTTAGACTATACAAAATATGGTTTAGTTCTAATAATAAAATGTAAAAAAAGACTTAAGTTGCAGGTACACACTTGCCAACTATTGGTGTAACTTAACATTTGTTACTTTTGAAGGTTTCTATCAACATACACACAAATTAAAAAGAGTAAGAATATTAATTAAGGGTAAAAACACACAGCAGGAGACTTGATCATTAAACATCTGGGAGGTTCCACTAACTGAGATCAAAATGCAAAATGGATAGAACTCTATACTCCAAGAATCCTGAGTTAAAAGTACTATTTGTAGAGATTGCATTGCTAATATCATTTTGGTGAACATCCTTCTCTATCCCAAGATTTTTCTGTGACCAATGTCTCATTTAAATAAATTAGCTGATGGTTAACACTTCCATTCCCGGGAGCAAAATATTAATTGTTCACACTGTTTGCAGTACACTTCTTATAATTTTAGATCAGAGTCTTTCTGTGTTAAATAAAGCAATGTTGCCTGATTGGTGTTGAATTCAATTTTGATGGCTCCTTGGGGTGATAGAGTTAACACCATGAGGAGAGTGCCATAATGTTGGGCTCAAATTGTGAAAACCCCCTAATAAAGTATTCTTAAGATGAAACAGAGCATGAATAAAGTTTAACGTGGACCTAATTTGTTTCATTCTATCATTATGACAGAGTCTAAGGCAGGTTTTTTCGTGCTGCTTGGTGGGGTAAGTGGTTTAAATGATTCGATGTTTGGAGATCTTGACCTGTTTTCTGCTGTTTCTTTACCAAGAGTGCTTTGAAGAGCTAAAGCTTTATCCTGAAAAGGAATTATGACATTTTACAATTAAATACAATAACAGTACTAATTTCCTGAGGTACCTCCTTGATTATTAACCCTTTAACTCCCATGAGTGACCAAGACAGAATTTCTCCTTACAATACCAATACAGCATCAACCAGACAAGTGATGAGAATAAAGAAAAATATCAATTTGGGGATAATAAGTTGATTCAATACTAAATTGAATCAACTAATTAATCAATACTCTGAACTAACATGAAAATTGTATGATTGGCAGTAAGAAGAATGACAAATTTAATCTGGGAGTTAAAGGGTTAAAGATGAAAACTTCTTGAATTCACATTTTGATTATATTTGCTTTTAACACTAGAAACCTTTGGCCAGGCCCCTTCTAAGCAAAAATTTACAAATAGTTTATTTTTAATATTTAAAAGAGGAAGCCACTGAGAGGTGTACAAAAGTGAGCAACAGTGGTTTGATGAAATGGAAACTTGATTTTAGATCATGATCAAGTTTGACTTCTGTACATGGGTAGGTCTATTAATACCACTGCTGGTCACGATATAGAGAATACGATGACCTGAAGTACTATTATAGACCACTAAGATCCTAATATTTCCCTTGAACTCTATACACTTCAACATCTGTATGCATATTCTCCACACTGCTCTCTGTACATTTTCAAGGAGAATTTGGGTAACAATCAAGGGGTTCTGTAGTTGGTGATCATTTCCTGTATTCTCATGACCTTCAACTTTGATTCAGGGGCAATGGGTAGGGAGAAATTAGATGCTAGTCACTCTTAGGGGTGAAAGGATTAAGCCAGTAGTACAGGTATAAACAAGTGCCATCATAATGTAAAGATCCTTTTAAGTTTTCACTTACAAGTGATGCTATGTCTACTGCATGAGTTTGGATGTTGTGAGCATCTTCACGTTGAACTTGCTCAAAACTTCTGATGGTTGCTGCTCCTTTTTCCATTATGATGTGGGCAAAAGATGTCATCCACTGAATACATGGGTGAAGTTCCTCCCGTGAATGTCCTGGAATTCAATGTAAGATAACTTAAACAACTAATATAGCACAATAATTACTGACCTTTCTCATGAGCTTTGGCAATTGTCACAAAGTTATATTGTTGCTTGCAAGGAGTTTGAGTCGCTAAAAGTTCCTCAGGGTTTTCTTTTAAAAATGTAGCAGCAGGAAAATGGATCAAAGTCACCATAGAATTCTATGAAAAATTTTAACCCTTTAACTCCCAAGATCTCATTAGTAATTCTCCTTACTATCTCCTATACAGTTCTTGTGATGTTAATTTGAAGGATTTAGTATTAGATCATCTTATAATCCCCTAACTGATATTTTTCTTTATTCTCATAACTTGTCTGCTTGATATTGTTTTGATATTGTAAGGAGAAATTCTTTCTTGATCACTTATGGGAGTTAGAGGGTTAAAAAAGCTAAGGTGCTGGAGAATTCCCTGATCTCCAATGGCTGATCAACACCCTGTCCATACAAGACTGCCTCTTGAAGAACTGAGCAAAGTTGTAGTTACTGTATATCACAAATATGTTGCAATGCAATTTTGCCAATACCTCTCTATGTGCAGGAATCATTGTCTTGCAACAGCTACATCATCCATTACCTGAACACAGGATGTTATTGCAAGGCTGATCTTTGTTCCTTACCTGTAACTTGTTCAACATTAACTGGAAGCATGTGGTAAAGAGCTGACGCAGCTAGAATACTGTAGGAGAACTGCAGAGAACCCACATCCAGGATGCACAGATCTAAAAGCTAGAAAAAGAAATAAAATTAAGGCAGCAATCAACACTATTCTCAGATAGTACCACTGGATGTATTTTGAAACCTAAAGCTGAAATATTAGTAAATGGAATATTCTTAGCAGCAGAAGAATAAATCCCCTGTTAAGTGGTTGTAACATTATGTTATGAGCATACATTTTACTCAATACAGGTATTTTTCCCTCCCCAACAGGGCTCACAAAAATATCACACAACTTGCATAATATGAATTGATGTCAGTATCAAAATATCAGGTTAATTTTGGGTTAGGGGCTGGGTGGGTGTGCAGCTGCACTAATAAGACATAAATGCATTGCATAGACAATAAATATGCAAGGGAAGACCTACTTGTGCAACTTCAACAAATCTTGGTTGTGAGTAGTTAGGGATGCTGAAGTTTGATGTTTTACCGTTTTTACTTGTTACACAAGACAACTGTAAATAGATATTTAACCATGAATTGACAGTGATTGGTGTTAAATTCCAACACAACCCCTGTAGACAAGAAAGCAATAAATAGATGAGTGAAAAGTGTGTTTACTAAGTACATGCAAGTGGAACATTCCATGGTATACCACAAGAGAGTCTTGGAATCAATGTCAGTATCTGACCAACTGCACACCTACCCCTTCCCTGATCCAACAACAGTCAAATTGTAACAGGTTAGGGTTAGCATTGGGTTAGGGGAAGGTAGATGTGCAGCTGCTCAGAAACTGAAATTGATCCAAGTGTTGCATGACTGTTTTACACATGAAATGCAATAGAAAATAAAGCAACTAATACTTAATATCAGAATGCAGTTCAAACATTCAAAGTTCAAAAACAAAATGGTTTGAAAGCAGAAATGAGACTTCTCCCTAAATGCATGCTGGAAAGGTTTGGGTTGATACCATTGAGTGTAAAAAGCTTTCTTCCACTCTGATTGACTTTCACTTTACCATACCACATTGATAAAGGTTACTTACTTGTGAACTTAACTGATTAGCCGTTATATCTCTTGTGAAATGGTATAAAAATAATACTGAAACCACGGCAGCATCCCTAACATGAATTTTGTGGGATTAAAATCGTTTAGTTACCTTTAACATGAGCAGTTCTTCATGTAGGATCTCATTTTCTGTACAGGCACCATCAGTGACATATGCAAATTCACTTATTTTGGGAGGGTAAATTTCCTGTAAATATTGAAAACAGTGTAAAGAAACACATTACACACTTAACTCGCACCTCTTTCTTGGAAAGAAAAATAATAATAACAATTGTTTGAAACCAATTCTTACCTCCAACTTAGCAGCAATAAACAATGCCGTTGTTCCAACAAGTTGTAGTCTTTGCTTGGCAATGTCATGTTTAACTGACAGGTATCTATCAACAAAGTCTACTGCCAAATAATATGTTTCCCTGTGCAGTCTATAAACTTCACAAACCTAGACACAAAGAAAGATAAAGAATGTTAGAATGTTGTTCAGCACATTTGTGAAATACTTTGCACTCTCTTTAAGGAGCATGTTTGTGCGATGAGTAAAGAGGAGTAATCAGGGGTTGTTTGGAGTGCGCTCATTTGTTTTGTTTACAGTAAGTGGCTGTTTGAGCCTTTCCCTCCAACACACAACATGGCCAAATTCTTACACCTCCAGCCATGGATTAATTCAAACTTCTTAGTTGTGTGATTTTACCAGATATATATCTTTTTTTACTTAAAGCAGACCCCCCCCCCCTCCTCTACTCCTTTATACATGTCAGCTTTGCCTTAAACTTTCATTCAAAAACTAAGTTTTGTAGGGGGGGGTCCTCTAATGTATGCTTGGATGCCTTCAAGGCCCTCACTTAACACTTATGTACAATCATTATAGTTATCAAAAGGAAAATAAAAAGAAAGTGTTAAAAGTATTTACCTCTGTTAGCCAATCCAATAGAATTGCCCGCATCCTTGGCTGAATAAATGAATGTTTTCTAAAATATAGAGGGTCTCTTGAATACTTCCTCTCTTTCTCAAGCATTTTTGCCCACACTTCTTTGGGATCTGCCCAGTCAAGCTCAGGAAGAGGCATCACACTTTTGACAACTGGTATAAAGTAATTGCTGAAAGTAAAACTACTAGATTTCCCAAACTCAGGGAGAGCGTTGCTTGCTGTGTGTTCCTTTAATGCCTTTGATTGTCGTTGACTTCTTGTTTCAATCCTTGAGAATCCACTAATGCTTCCCTCAGTGCTGCAAAATGGTTGCACAGACATCTGGGTTGTCTAAAATGAAGAAATGATGGTAACAAGTTTACCAGTCATTTTTAGGTGAATAAATGAATGCATGTTATCTGTAATATCTTAAATATAGGGAGCTAATAATTGGCTGTAGATCATACTATAATTGATGACATCTTCAGACAAAATAGTATTTGAAACCTGCAAAATATTTTTTCTAACAGTAAAAGTAGAAATATATTTCCAAAGTTTACATGTAGGTGTAAACCCTTAAAAATACTTTAGGGTGGCAGAAGGGGTATAAAATGGTAACTAGGTGTATTTTGGAACATTGAAATAAGGAGTAAAAAATATACATCTCTTTTAAAATTGTAGAAACACCAAAACAACTAGTATTGCTCAAAAAAGTGCTGATTTAATCACTAATTCCTTCTTTATATTAACAATATTGCAATACCAAAATGATAGGCTGGGATACCTGAGAAACAAAACAAAAACTCTCTAACAATGGCATGCAGTTATGAACTATTTATGGCTCATTAAGCATGATGACTTGAAAATGAATTTGGGTCATCATCAAACAGAGACAAAGTTTCCAACATGTAGATTCCTATCTGAGATGAGAGAGGTACAGATTGAAAAAGGGAAGAATATCCTGGCCAATAACTTCTCTTCATACTCTAGTTCAAATATGTGCCCCTTAAGAGAAACTTGTGTGACTTTTAATTCTTTTCTAGATTACCCACAAACTGTCACATATTTTTTGCATGAAACACTGTTAGGTTTATACAGCTGTGAGGCAAAGTTTAAGCTGGATTTCTGTTACCCATATCATATTTAAGCAAATTATCTAGAAGAATGTTTAGTTTATTTATTATATAATAAGTATGCCAAATAAAACTGAATTATTTTCCCTTAAAGCCAAAGTAAACAATTTTTTTTCAACTTAGGTAAGTTGCTTTCTATAAAATGGTCGTTTTTCTATGCATGTCAGGTGAGTAACATAATTATAAAGAATATAGGGGAACAGATGGTGGAAATCTGCCCCCAGACACTAAGAAAGAGCCACTTAAATAAAGATATTAAACACCAGCCTATGTAGATTTCGTTAAAATCCATCCTGGATTTCTTAACATTTAATCTTCAATATCAACTGGTTTCCTCTGTATGTTGAATATTTTATTATTTGACCTTTAATTTCAAGCGTAAGCCATTCCAAGGTAACTTGTACTGAAGCCAATTATTTATGTTCAGTTGGGCAATTAAACAAACATGGTCAAGAAAACTAAGTGACAGTGGTATTTACTTTTTAATCTGACATATTACACAGTAAAAATTAATCAAGGTTGAAAAATGGTATTTGTCTGTTGATTAAATTTTGGTGATCTCTTTATCTGACAATTCTGTAAAGATTAAAAATTTTATTTGTGGAAGTCAACTATGAAACACAATCTTGACTAATTGGTTTTTGCTTTCAGTTTTTTTTTTAACATCTACATACAAAGGAATCCAAAATTTCATTGTGTAGATAGCTTTGGGTATTTTTTTTCAACAAAATACAAAGGCTTTAAAGAAACTAAATTGAAAGTCGTAATAGAAGAGAAAAGAATCCAGGGATAAGCATTTCAGTTAAGATTTACCGCTGGATTTTTTGTAATATTTACATATTCACCCTGTGCTCAAAGCTTAAAATAATAGAAAATAACAAGGTCAACCTGAGGTTATCCACCGAAGCAGAAATTGTGCAAAGTGGCAGAACACTCTATAACGAAAAAATGCTTTGCTCATTTGCAACATGCTGAAGTCTTGTGGATATCTAGCATGTTATGTATTCTTTAAATGGGAAACTGTTATATAACTGAAATGAATATCATAAAATTTATGGAATAACTGAATTTCATATTGCAAAACCAGATTAAGAACAAATAATATAAACACTGGTGGTCCTCTAGAACAAACAGAAAGCTGTTATTATTTTTGCAGTAACCGTGATACCTAAAGTAAACAACCCATCATGAAAAAATGAAATGGACTGATGAATTTTTCAAAAATATTACACCAGTTCGTATGTGGCAACCACAAAATTTCAAGAATTTGCCATTGAATGTTGGAATAAAAAAATCATTGCTCTTTTGCTTCGAGTAGAAATTCGACAACACTACGAGAGATATTACAACTTTTCATTTAACATCTAATAAATTTTGCAGTTAAACTCCTTTGCCCACGAGGAGAAATTAATATCACTTAAATTATATAATTATTAAAAAGAAACAAATAATCATACCCATGCAATTTTGGTCTTTCAATGACAAAGGAAATTACCTCCTTAGAAGAACGAATCAGTCAAAAAATCTATTGAACACGAAGTTAGATAAAACCAGTTTAATTAAGCGGTGACAAGATTTGGTGAACGATCATGCAAATATTTCCTGCATATTACACAAATGTCCATCTCTTAAGCTATTTTGTTGTAGAATAAAGTGAAGCATGTTAGGTCAGAGAGACACTTTCTCAGAACCACCAGTTCAGATAAATTGGTAACTGGTTACTCAGCAAGTCGTAATCACAAATATCTTTGATTTTGGCTCAATCCGTCAATACTACCACCAGTTTAAGAGCGAGGGGGTAAACTAACCACGCCAGTAGTAGTAATTAGAGAAACTCAAATCAAAATTCCGTCTCTCCCGGAATGTAGATCCCTTGAATCATTTTTGTTCCTTTTTCACGAAAGCACCGTGGTTCCCGATTTATTTGTATCTAGAGGAAATATTTCACTAGCAAATTAGAATGAATGAAATATCTACTCTATCAAGACTTAGCACTTCGTCTTGTTCGGATGAGCAGTTCTTGTTAGCACATTGGGGGAATGTAATTGTCGAAATTTTCCCGATCTTCGCATTCCGCCGAAAGATTAAATAAGCAGGCAAACGACATTTTCGTACTTAACCAATACGAAATGTAAGCTCAGAGAAAATGATTTCAAAGCAAACTTCTCGATCATACCGAACAATGACTGTCCAAAATGGCGGGAGGCTTTCGTCCATGGCGGGAAAGCAAAACATTGTCTTACCTTCTCTTGCAGTGCCGCTCTCGTCCGCTTGCTAGAAGCTCCTCTGGAGCAAGAATCCCTCTACAAGTGAACGAAAGCTTTGTCAAATCTGTATTATGCACAAAAGTAGCGAAAACACATTTCATACTTACCTTCCTCTTTCGTATGTTCGCTTCGTCGACAGATTCCAAACTCAAATGGCGGAGGTCTTTCGCGGCACAGTCACTAGAAATATAATTACAACCAGCCATGTGAGAACTGAAAAGTTATCGTGAGTTGTGAAAAAACACTTTCTGGACAAGAAAAATCCCAGGATCTAAAAGATTAGTTGCCCAAGGGCAAAGCAATAAATAAGTTCGATTCGCCTGTTGATATGGCATACAGAGGAGGGTTTACAATTAACTTGCAATCACAAAATAAACAATCACGGCTTTTTTTACGATCCTAACCTTTCACTTGCCATTTACTAAATCAATGGAAAAGCAGACTGATCGATGTAGTACTAGAAGAATACAAATTTTGTTTAAGCTTTTTACAGATGAGCCGTTTGATCAGTCAATCGAGACCTTCACGGGACCAGGTCTCCTGTCGGAATGAATGACTGATTTTTGCGCGAATACTTTGTGTGCACTTTCTCCACGTGCCCCTTTTTGAACAAATTACCCGCCATAATTTGAACCAATCAGGCCACGCATAACAAACCCCCGGGACTCTGTCACGCTTTGTGATTACTTCCAGTGAATTTTTACCAGCAAATGCTAGCGTTGTCAGCCTGCGATAGGCCTCGGCAACGAAAATAACTGAGGGGAACAGGTGAAAAAAGGGAAAAAATGAAAGGTGTTACAAGCTCTAATAGGTAGAACCGAAAGGGAAGGCATTTTGAACTTTCACAAGTCTTGGCTTGATTTTATTGACCTATCACGTGCGTTGATTTTCAACACATCCTTAAGTAACCCGAACATTAGGCTTAAAATGCGGAAATTCTAGGTTCTCCCATCTTGATCTTCTTTGGATCACAAGTGCCAAGGATTTGGTAAGAACACCATGAGTTTTGGATGATGAAATTTTCAATTGAATATTCAAAACTTTAAGAGGGACCCCCGCATTTGAATGCTAATTACATTACACAAAAAGTAAACAAAAGATTTGACGTCTATAATACATGGAAGTTACTCATTAATCACACGGTTGACAGAGCTTAAGGGAACCTCCTATTTCAAGAAAACAAACCATGAAAGCTTCTATTCCAAAGCAACAGTTGAGAAATTCTGAACGCATAAAAAGATTCGTACTCAGAGGCAGGTACTGAAGTGTGATGTCGCTCGATGCGATAAAGACATGAAATCATGCTCGTTCCATATTCTCGGCTTAAGTCGGATTAAGTTTACTTACGATTTAATGGGGTATTAAATCAATTTCGGTTTTTATAAGTTTTCCGCATATTGCGGACTATCGCATGTTGCGCCATCGTCGGCTAATCTTTCCCAATTTAGATTCAATTTGTGTACCAATCCTCTTGTCCATCTGACACCGTCAATACTGCAACTGTTAAGATAAACTGTTTGAGGCAAAGGCAGAAACTACGATATTCACGCATCACGACAACTGCTGAAAGAACATTTGATTCAGCCAAAAGAGACGGTGGTTGAAAGTAAAGAGGGGCGATAGTGTAATATCTATCGAACCGCGCCTTACTTTATCTGTGTGCCGAACTGCAGACCAACGAGGGAATTTTTTTATCATCACAAATGCGCTTTACTCGTATCTCTTTACATTTTTTTACAAGGGAATCCCTAAGCCTCTAGTTAAGCAGTACCGTACAGAAAGGGTGTAACAACAGCTGTTCATGGCTGTTGACGTGGTGGTAATTGTATTTTTTATCATTTGTTCAATTTTTTCTCTTTTCACGTAGAAGGTACTTCCATTTTCACTACGTTTATTGGGTTGGTCGGCGTCTTCTGTGGGTTCAATCTACCGTTCTTCCATTTCAAACTCTGATGAGATAGGCGACATGAAACCTCGGTAATTGTCACTAATCCTGGCAGAAAGCTATGCCGGCACGGATATAACTTTCAGGTTTAAACACTTTGATAAATACGCAAACAGGAGTCAAATATTGTTCTATACGGATGTTATTGTCTCAGGAGGTTCTGAAGGAAATTTTAAGCATGGATAATCTGGATTGTTTTGTTGTCTCAATGTTTGAGCCTGTCTTAAGGACAGGTTAGAGGCAGAGGGGAAGACATGTAAAAACTCACGTCCAAGATACATTTCCCGTTCAAGCGTTTTTTAAGGTAAGGCATGCTCGGCTTCGAGAAAGGACGCTTAAAACTGACCCGTTTTTCTTCTGCAAATTTACTCTTTCCCAAAGCGTAAAAAGTGTATTTAATACAATTCAATAAAACTTGATCATAAACCGAGAACCATTTCCTTATTGATTTTTGGGTTATTTTTTGTAACAGGTAGAAAAGAATAACAGTTTTGTTTGTTTCACGAAAAAGGGAACAATAAATAGTCACGCCCGTCTATTGTGTCCACGAGGTCTTTTAGGTTCCGCCAAATTCATCCTGAGTATGCCTTCACAGGTTCTCCAGCGTTTGTGGCTCCATTTATGATAGGCTAGTAATCAGGCGTTCGGATTCATGAAACAGTTCGACGAAAAAGGGATTCGCACGAGTATATTTAAGTGCAATTAATGAATGAATGGTTTAAGTGTTATACTTCCGAAGTATACCATTGAATAACCGGAAGCCCACCCAAGAAATAAAACTCGTTATATCCATCGAGCAAGAAGATTAGAAACCTCTTTAATTATCTTTACCACTTACGATGGTTTTTTTTTTAATACTGAGAACCTTGTTTCAGGCAGAGATTAGCCAAAATTTTTAAGAATATACGAAGAATATACCCAGGCTAAGAGTCAGTTTAGAACTATATAATTTTGTTCGTTTTTTTGTAATAAGTATAAATAAAGGTAAAAAAAAATGTAAAACTGTGGTCTAACAGGACAATTAACTCACGTCCGAACTTTACCACACAACCTTGAGAATATATTATATTATAAACGTTTTCAGGCTCAAATCGCAGAAAAAAATTAGAACGTTTAGCCTCAGTACCCAAATTAGTCGTTCTCATGAAAAAAAGAGTGTAATTACTCATCATTTTCTTGTGCTTACGATGCAAACGGTTTGCCTGTTTGCACCAAGTGATATCTTTATCATTCTGTCTGTAATTTACATCACGACACTTGATAGTCACCCAGACCTCCCATGGCGAAATGTGCTTGTAGCCAAACCGATAAAGGAGGGTTCTTTTCTTTTATGCATTCAAAGTGGTGGGGCGTTTGAGATTTGAGATCAATACCACATATACAATCCCCTTCATGAACTTAGCCTTTGAGGACAATACGCGGGCTATCGTGTAATTCGCGGCTCGGGCAGCCACAGACGATACGCTAGGAAGCCTGAACACAAGGATTATCGGCGCACGAAGAATGCTTGGAGCATACTCACGTAAAACTCTCCTTCATCCACTGTTGTAGTTAAATCATGAGCAAGTGGCACACGTGCATGTCTCGTCGACTTGTCTGCCACTAAACGTTTTACTCAGAAATGGACCGCCTTCATGTCTGGAATTTCAGCCAGGGTGTCATCATTTCTCTTATTAAATGCAAATAGTAGTCGCAACCCACAAAGAGGCATTTAAATTCGCGACACTTTTTGATGCTCCAGAGGGACTACAATGGTTAAGGTGTTTTTCTCATGCCCTTGCACTTGATTCCATGCCCAATTAGCCTTCTCTCCGGACAATAGAAAAGTCAAAAGTTTGCTTCTACAGAGACAAGGGAAAGGGCTAATGGAATGCAGCTAGCCACCACATCGTTAAAGAGGTGCTCGATATCCTTGGGTTTCATTGAAGTTAAAAAAAATTAAACACTAACTACTGAATAATCACTAATGCATCCCACTTTCTCGACCAGGATTAAGAAAAATAGAGAAAAATGACACTCAGCAAGTTAAATCTCGTTGGATCTTGTTTCCACCCTTGTAAATACGCAAATGAACACAGACTATACCTAGTCGCCTCGCTCTAAGCTCGGAGAAATTATTATTTTCCTAACTTATGTAAGCGATTGGCGAAGCCTACTGACATAAATTTGCCTTGACTGTTTGCATCTGTGTTCTTAAACAACCGAGGCTCAAGTTGTTTCTTACCTTAATCCAATACCTCCATTTCACTCACTATTGGTCTCTATTCTGAAGCAAAACTATTCCAAAAGTCCTGTCCTGTTTCATTTTAATTGGAAAGGTTTTGTACGCAGTGAAGTGCAGTAGACCTCATTTGAAGATGTTGACGCTTAACAGCTGTAATTACCGTGTTTGGGCCCTCCGTTGCGCCGAAGGTCACGCAGGTGTGGTTGCGGAGCTAGGCTGTGCACATGTGCTCAGCAATCATTTCATTTTTTAGCATACTTTGTTATTGTTAGGTTATTCGAAGTCACGTTTTCTAAATTTGCAATGGTTGGCCTGTTTTGAAAATGAAGATTAATAAATGAAGATACAAAGTGAAAAGTTCAGGACGGCCCGTTGGGAAAAACTGGCGCATAACTGGTCCGTAAACTTCGAAGAAACAAAGAAGAATTTTAATCTTAATCTTACCTTGGGGAGAATTAATTAATCCTGCCAACCTGAAAAAAATCTCAGGTTATGTTCATTCGTGTTATCTTTATCATTGCTATGACAAAAAATCCAGCATGACATTTTAGAGACTTAAATGCTGAGAAATTTAGAACTCAGTTATATTCATTCAAAATGAGACATTGACCGAAGGTAGAATTAAAATTGTTTGAATGAATCCATTTCTGTTATTTGTTTATTTTACTTTGCTTTTGTTTTTATTTTTTTTCAAGCTAGTGGTGACTGCCCTCTGTTGTTATTTCAACCTACTCTTTCTTTATTAAATGATCCTTATATGATAACCATGCGTAAAAGTTTTGATCGGTGGATACCTAAAAACTTGTCAACCCCCGTACTCCAAGTTGAACGATTTGTGCTTTGCAATAAATTATGGTTTTTCTAAATTTCAGTGCAATATTGTTATTCTTCCTTTCTGAACTACTAAAAATTAACCACCCACACTTTATAATGACCACTAAAACGAGCAATCCCCTTAACGAAAGTGAAAAAGCTGTAAGTTCTTCCCCTGTATTGGATCAAATTCTTTCCTCAGCTCAATTGCACTGAACAGTTGTCAGATCTCCCAAAGAAATTCTAAATCAGCTGATGACGTAACACTACAAACATCGCGCATTAGACCCGTCCCCAGGAGCTTCTCGTTTACCTTCGACCCGCCGTAATTTTGACAACAGAGAAGGCCCTGGCGACAAAGTTGATCCACCAGAAAAATTGTACTGTCTTTTCCTGCCACGGCTGTCACCAGGCGTTCTTTCTTCGTCTTCGCACCTTCCGTTAACCGCCGTTAAATTTTGCAACCGAGGCTTAGGAAAAGAAATTATCTTTCACGCTCTAATGTTGAATTTTTGCAGGTACCGTCAATATTATGAAATTTAATTTGAATCTGAGCCCTCTATTCAGTGAGATGAAAGATTAAAGCGAGAGATAAGAATTGTTGGATTGGTTGGTTCAGTACTGAATAGCGTCTATATCATTAAGCCGACTCTTGCATCATCTTGTAGTTGTGTAAGCTTCCACACGCAGCAAAATGTTGAGGTTTTTCCTGGTCACTTCTTGACGGGGGGTCACCCACACTATTTTCTTGTCCCAAATTTCCTGTTGGTGTTCCGTAACCACCACCTCCAGGAGTCTGGACACGATAACAGTCCTAACGGAGAAAGAAGGGTTCTAAATCAGTAAATCAGCAAGGAATTGCGTTTTTGATTTTGGATCATCAGTGTGATCAGTTATCCGGTATTTCCGGTCTCAGTCTTCGGTTTTTCCCTTCTGAGACATTTTGTTTAAAGTCTCGATCCTAATGAACAGGTTTTGATTTCAGTTCCGTTGTCTGCTTGTTTCGTTCTTGGATAGAATTTCTCCATCTCGACTTTTTTATTCTTCTGAGTGCTTGTTTTTTTGGTTTGAAAAGTTTTTGTCCACTTTTGAGGTTTCTGATTGAATGAATGAATGAATGTGTATTTATATACCGCACATATCACATACTGTCTCAAGGCGGTTTACAATTCTAATTGAGTGAGATCGAACGTCAGCTGCCGTTATCAGTCCATATTTGATCTCACTCACCCACCCAGCCCATGCATGAAATGTACAGTGAAACAACAGATAGACCACCACACCGGGAACTACGCCCCCTACTCTTTTCGACAAGTGTGTGGGTTCTTTAAGGGCCTATTTACACGGTACGACTTTGTCGCATGCGACAAGCTTACGACAGGCTTACGACACGAATTGTTTCGTGTAAATCAAACCTACAACTCGCTTACGACTCTTAAGTCATGTCGTAGGCCTGTCGTAAGCTTGTCGCATGCGACAAAGTCGTGCCGTGTAAATAGGCCTTAACGTCCCCTGCTGACCATGTAACACTGAAGATGCAGGAGACGGGGCCTACGGTTTATAGTCCTTACCCGAGAAGACTTGAATGTCTAACCATTTGCTGGTACAATTACAAAGGCAGCACATTCTCCTCAGTTATTTTTAAGACCCTGAGTGTTGGTCCGGTCTGGGGCTCGAACCCCAGCAGACTGGCACTCTACCAACTGAGCTAACCAGGCGGCGGTTGCCCCAATCCCCTCTCATAACATTATCCAACATATATTAGGTGGACAATCAGACATGGTTTGATGCTACTCTGGTTTACAGATTTAATGAATGTAACCGAAGAAGTTACAATTCATAGACCCAACGTTCCGACACCCCTGTCTAGTGCCTTCATGAAGGCACTAGACAGGAGTGTCGAAACGTTGGGTGTAGTGTCTCCTGTCTAGTGCCCTGATGAAGGCACCAGACAGCTGTGTCGAAACGTTGGGTCTATGAATTGTAACTTCTTCGGTTACATTCATTAAATCTGTAAACCAGAGTAGCATCAAACCATGTCTGATTATCCAACATCATCCAAACCCTTATCTCGAGCCCACGGTCATTTCGGCTCCTTGTCAGCGGTAAGGTCGCCAAATGATGACAAAGAGGCTAAATGACCCTGGGCTCGAGATTGTCTATACCCAGGTGTTAACGACTGATGCGGCAGCTTCGCTTTGTAGTACTTACCCCTGGCTTCATTTTGACCGATGCTTTGCCTCCGAGATTTATCATTCGACCATCTGACTTAAGTAGCAGGCTTAAACCTGGACTGCCCGGTTCACCGCCTGTAATAAAACCCGTATTTGCCTTAGCAAACGTTATCAAATGAAAACACAACTTTATGTAACATTGTAGTAACTAAGGAAGTCATCTTCCCAAAAGTCCTCTCACACACTGAGTATTTTCTTCTGCTCTTTCCTTTAATTTTTATCGCGCCGTTAGGACAACTTTCATTCTCTTGCAATGAGTAAATCACAGCTCTTACTAAATCACTGGAGGAGTAAAAAACTCTCTTTCATCTAGCTTTCAATGCTTGCCCAATTTCTTACGACAAAAGCGTTGTAAGGCACGTTTATCCCAAGGGATGCTGCTAGGGCCAATTTTGTATTCAACATGTGTTGGAAGAAAAGTTACCCAACGAAATAAGTTCTTCTCGCTTTCAAGGTTAAGATCTTGGGGATGATTATCCTATAAATAACACCTAATATTTCTCAATTGTCTTTCCCTCAGAATTTGGTGGCACATCAAAACAAAATCCCTTAATTGATAACTTTCTTAAATCTCCATACCTGTCTATAGGACAGTTTATAAAATGGTTATGAGAATTTATGAACGAAGAACTCTTGGAGGCGAAGTGGCTAAAATACACAGCAAACGGTTTTGAATGGTTGACATTTACTCCATTTTGAGTAATTCAAAGGAAGGTTTTCGATTTCTTTCCTGGTTTGTTGCGTTTTTCCTCAAGACTTACCTTTCAGTCCATAAGGTCGAAATGCTCTTCTCTCACCGAGAAGAGAAAGAACTTGCTCTTTTCTAAACAGCAGCTCGCGTATAACACCGTCACCACCCCTGTGAAAACCATTCCCACCAGTACCGGGGTTAAGATGAAAACGGCGCAGAATCACTGGAAACCTAGCAAGGGCGGAAAACATATCAGTCAAGAGCCCAGGCTTACTCTTTCTAAACCTTTTCAAGTGACAACAAACAAGTCGGGGCCTTCACTAGTTTGCCCTAACCCAACTAATCCTTGTGGAGTTAGAATGTGCCAAGTGTTCTGAACTACGTTTTTTCTTTTTCGTATTTTGTACAATTTTTGTTCTTTCGTCTTTTAAGTCCCAATATCTAATTAGTAATTCTCCTTTAAATCTGACACACATCTCGAGGTAAATATGTTGAAAAAATTTGGAAAATAATCGAGACTGAGGTCGCGTAACATCCCATCCTCCCACTGTTCCCCGGGGTAGCCGTTAATCTCGTGAAAATTATCAACTAAGCTACCTTCTTTCGATTATCTCTGGATCTGTGATCCTTGTGTTTGTCATGTGGACATGAACTCCACTGCGTCCGTCCCATGTGGGTCCCTGCGAAGAGGAAAGGCACCTTCTTTCAAAAATTAACACAGTATCATCTACATTTATGTCTACAATTTTTTTAAAAAGTACTCATTTGTTTTTTATTTGGCCACCAATAAGATAGTTGAATAAATATAGGTCAAAGAAAGGCAAACAACAAACAAATCTCAAGTTTGCTGCAGGGAACAAACAAGAAAGACTGTAGAGCGCTTTTCGATTGAGATTCGTAAAACCAAACCTCCATAAGAGAAATAGCCAATCTGAGCAAAGGTCAACAACACCAGCAGCCATACACGCATTAACAAGTCACGACTGGTTTACTTTTGTATCTGTTTGGACGACAGGTTTTCCGAATTTATCAGAGAGCCAAATGTAGCAAAACCATACAAAGCTGGATTATTTTCGACACTCAATTGAACACTTATCTTTCACATAACTGATCAGATCATTCGTCCTTAAGTGACCAGTAACTTAAAATCCTTAGTGGAAACAACTCACCGCCCCAGATCCTCCGCAGATTGTCTCGTAGTAGCCGCATCCTTCGTCGCCAAAGGTCGTGTTATTCATACAGCCCTGTCACACAGGTGGAAAGTGAATTAGACAGACAATAAAACACACACTTACCGCCCCGGATCCACCACTGATTGTCTCAATATACTGGCAATGCTGATCTCCAAACGCGGTTATGTTCATACATCCCTATACAAAGCGATACCTCGCTGTCAGTAGTACACATTCCTTTTAGGCTTTGCGGCTATAAGTTGAAATTAAATGTGCGAGACATTCTAGGGCAAGTGACATAACACGTGACTTCTCACTAACCTGTGACGCAGCGCACACTTCAAAGGCTTTCAGCACCACGTCAACAACTCGCTGACTGGTCAATACGTTCCCGCCAACAACTGCCGCAGTTTCCGTTGGATCCAGAACGCTAGCAGGCGGAATAACCACTTTTACTGGCGCCAAACAACCCTGAAGGAGGAAAAAAACAGTGTTGACGGGTCTAAAAATTTTCATAGTATTGAAGCCTCTGAAGGATTTGGTAAATTATCTAGATAAACGCAAGGAAAACAGACGCAGCTTATAATTACCTGGTTCAGCGGTATCGAGTGTTTGACCATGCACCGCAGACAGTAAATAATGGCAGAAAAGGTGATGGCGCGAGGTGCATTACAGTTCCCGTACATCTCGGGCCCAGTTCCTGTGAAGTCAAATACTGCGCTGCCCTGAAACGAAATAATAATAACTTCATCGAAAAGTACCCTTCGCTGAAACCTTTACAGCTTTATTTTTCACACTGAGTACAAGTCTTAAACAAAGAAAGTTGTTCACTTAAATTAACGTTACAGGAGGCCGTTCAGTCTTGGAAGACTGAGAACTTTGTTGAATGACCTTAAAATTTCAAAATTCTGCCCCAGTATAGTTGGACAATTGATTTGGTTATGGATTCCATTAAAAATCTTATATTGAACTAGAATTCCAAGTCCTCATGTGAAGACTATCTACCTCTTTCTCGTCGATGGAAATTGTAAGTTTAATGCGCGATCCATCATCCATGTGATCCTCGGCGGATAGTACTGTCTTTCCGGTGCGTTCCTGCCGATTTAACAGGAAAACAAAAGTCACAAATAAAAACTCTACCCGCAAAGGTTTGTCAAGATGAAATGTCAAATTTTTTCGGGTAAAGAAAGACGGATATCCCTCTCTTTTTGCTGTGCATCAATAGCTGTTACCTAAGGTTTCCTGATTAATTCTACTGCAAAGAGCTTTTTCCAATTAAAGCTAGTCACAGCAACCAATCAGAGCAAGAAAAACATCACATAGAGCCAATGAGAACACAAAGTGGATATGACGTAGTCGACCTGAAGCGCGGGAAAACACGAATGACCAAGTCACGATCGGTTTAAGTTTTGTATCTGATTGGCTGAAAGAATGGCGCGTTTCTAGACCAATCACAGGACGCAGTGAAACAATACCTATGCAATCATTCACTGTTCGTGTAGTTCTGTCATATTTCCTCACCTTAGTTTTTGCAGCAATATCTTTCAGCATTTCTCGAACAGCAACTTCGGCATTATGCTAAAATAAACGCAAAAAAAATTCACTGAAATAAGAATTATTAAAACAATCTTCAACACAGACCAAGTTACTTTTATATTTCGTTGGAACAGCTTCTGGGAATCTTACCTGAATATACTTCATGTATGCCTGCACCACGGGCAGGCTGTATTCTTCTATCAAGCTACTAATCAGTTTGATTCCCTATAAAGTAAAAATATCAAATTTGCTATTAACCAGCCGAGATGTCACATAATCATCGCCCAATCACAGGGCACACGTCTCTATAGTCACCTGTGTAATTAAACTCGATTGAATTTAAACATAAGACTATCAAAAGATGGAAGGCTAGGGGAGGGGAGGGGAGGGGAGGGAGAGGACTAAACATGCCCGTACCTTATGATTAGCCGCCACTTGGGCCTTAAGGTCAGACAGGTTGTCATGGAGATTGCGCGTTCCACTGCATCCGGGATGCTTGCTGGGCTCCATAAGCTTTTCAATCAGTGCTGTAGAACGAAGACGTCAGATTAAAATTACTGGATTGATCCTTGTCCGCTTCACAATACAACTACGGGTCATTTCGAATCTGGACGTTAACTGCTGTTCGAAGTTCTATTGTGACTCTGGATAAAAAAGGGCAACCTTCTTTGCTAGAAAACGTTCTATCGGTATCTGTTCACTTAGTTGCGTTGGCGTGCATTGAGTTATCATTCAACATTGAAGCTCAAAAGCACATTATCAGAAAAGAGTGCCTGAGTTTAAAGTTGGAGATGTAAGGTACCGAGTTCGACAAGTAACGTTGTACCTTCTTCTTGAAAGACACCTTCTTTAACTATTTTAAATGATTTGAACACGGCTCCTTCTTCAAATATGGAATGTGAATCAGGCGGCATGGACCCTGTAAGGGAAAAAAATGTATAAAATGTTTTCTCATATGTTTAAATATAGAAAAGGTTTATGAGACAAACATAAGGATAATTCCAACACACAGGATAACATCTGCGCTCAAAAATGGACGAAACAAACAAATACAGGAGAAGAAGCAACAGCAACAATAACCTTTTCCGGGCTCTTTATCGTGGTATCGAGAGAAGTGCTTAGGACCTGGGAAAGAGGAAAGTGCATTTCTTGTTTCCCAGATCCCAGCCGTTCAGTGCTCGTGTCTCTACTGATCGAGAGTCTAGCGCAAAGTACAACAACAAAAACTCTTGTAAATGAACCTCAAGAGCCTTCATAAAATGCCTCACCTAAGAGCTAATCAAAATCATTGTACGGAATCTTGGGTTAAAAGACATACGTTAAGTAGTTTGTGAACGCTGAATAGTTCTTGACAGTCAATATCGTTCTGATAAGCTAAAAAGGATTGGTACAGACCTGGAGCAGATCCTCCGATATCTGCATGATGGCCACGGCTTGCGACAAAGAACACGGGCTTTGATTGACCAGGATAGAAAACCTGAACAGCAGAAGAAAAGGAGCGAGAGACAACTGAGTCTTCCTTAGTTAAATTAAAATTTTGTTTCCATACTGATTCTAAATCTGTGAATTTGCATTGCGCCAGAGTACAATTTTCGTCTAATAAGCGTAGCATGATAAGCTGGTTGTCGTGTGCACCATGCTTTATCCCTATCAGAAAATTCTTTATTTTAGGATGTCTATCTACCTTGGAAATTTCTTTTAATCGAATGTTTTTCCTATGTGATTCGATTTCGTAAGTTTCGAAAATAAGACCTAGGTTGCTTCCACCCAAGCCACTTTTTTTAAAGCTTCGTGTGAAATTTAGGTTTAGCGATTTTGTAATGGTCGTGTTAACTGTGGGTCCATAGGTGTCCCAAAAAGGAGACTTTATAATTATCTGGATCGAATATCTTCCTTACCGGGGTGATGACAGTTAAATCTGGAAGATGTGTTCCGCCTGCGCTCGGGTGGTTACTGAGTAAAACATCACCTTCCTTCAGATCATCTCCCAAAGTGCGAATCTAAAAAGAATTTCAGGCCATGATTAGCCATGAAAGAATCTCGACGAAGAAGGCAATAAAACGACATAGATCAAATTAAAAAAAAATTATTAAGTAGTATTTAGTTGAAAATAGTGTTGTTTAAACCTGATATTGCACAGTTTCCTGCATGGAACCGAGATGAACTGGGATGTGTGGGGCATTGGCAACCAGGCCTCCATCTGGTCCAAACATAGCACAGGAAAAGTCGAGTCGCTCCTGCAAAAAGTGAAAAGGTATAACTGTAATCATTAAATTTCTACTCCATTGACCAAAGAAGCCATGATAGAAACTCAGCCCCTCTGTATCAGGTCTCGTAGAGCGGTGACTTGGATTCAAGATAGTTCAGCATCAACGAAAAAGTCAGTCTCAGCCACACAAACAAAAACATTTAAAGAAATAGACCAACCTTGAACGCCAAAACGTCCCTGAGATAGATACGAAAAATTTAACGAAATAACATTCAGTATTACATCTCACCTTGATGTTAGTTGAAATTGATGTACGCTGAAGAACTCTGACGGATGCGAGAAAAAAACAGAATCAGGTATTCTGTGTAAAAACTCACCACAGAGTTGACATAAATCTCATTTTACTCACCTGCCCATCTGCTCAGCTGTACTCATGAAACGATGGGAAAATATGGAAAGCTGAGGAATAAAAGAATGAAACTAATCACGAAACACAAGAAAACTGTTCTGTGGCAGAGGTTACTTGGAGGAGAACACCTTAAGAGAACTGCATCGGAGGCACAGAGATAACTTTTTTTTGAGTGTGACCCTTCCACCGCCATCTGCACCCTGAGTGCATTGATACACAACCTTGGAAACTGTACGTAGTATTTGTTAAGAATCATTGTATCTGACCAAGTGGCTGTTTACATCCCTTTGAATCCATAACGTAGTTAACGCAAATAGAATGCCCATATTTCTTATGCAACAACCTTAGAATTCAGAAACGTTACTCTCACATAAGCTAGTCATAAAATTGATTCAAACAGTACCTGAATCGCATCTAGTTCTGTTCCAATACTCTTTTTGCCTTGGTTTCCTCCAATCTAAAAAGTAGTAGCGACCATACTGGTAAGTGATATTCAATTGCGTTGTCTGATTGGTTTGGAAATTTTGCACCACCCTCTCGTGCAGGAGAAGAAAAACGAAATCTCATCACAACATTAGTTCACTTCAGTCCCTTTTAACTGCGGTTTTCATTTTGAGTTCTCAGATGTTTCACGATAATGTCCTTTGTTCCAATGGAACGTGGTTGTTACTTTCGTTTTGGTTTTTTGACGCCCAACTGAGAGGTGCTCAGAAAAGACTATCTTTGTTAAGTTAAACTTGTATATAATTTTCAGACCCAGTATGTCGTGTAATGAACATTGCAGTTAAGTTTAGAACGTTAAACGCGTTACACCACTTCTGTTTCATTTCCAGATTCAAGATGGAGTTTCGCGCGAGGAGAAGGAAGCAAATGGTTCAAGAAAGTTGCAACTTACTTACTACCCGCCGCGCCTCTTGGCGCATATAGCAGCGACGAGATCAGAGAGCTGCAAAGCAGGCGTTTTTAAGGAAGCGCATCGACCGCTCCCTTAGTGCCTATTCATGTCTCGCCCAAACCATGCACTGTTTTCACAACACACATTTCGCTTAGAAGAACATAAAAAATTAGTCGGGAAGCTTTCCATTAGACAATATACCAATTTACTAATAAAGCAAACAAAACCTCAATCTTGATGTCTCCTGATGAAGTGATAGACGCTTTGCATTGTGGTTCAACAAGAACGGTACTGAAAAACAAACATCAATTTAATAAATACTCTTCTTGTGTTTGTTTGTGATTAATGTGTGGTTCATTTTAAACCTCGTTCACCTGGTATTGTTAACGATAATGGCCGGTCCATCTATAAGCTGGCCAGCGGACAACTCCTCAAGGAGGTACACCTTCGTGTCATGAAAACCATCTTCAAAGTAACACTTCGTTGTCTAGTGTAAGAAAGAAAAGCGTAAGCAGACCTTGTGTTTTCGTGGCTATTCCAAAGAAACCTCAACCTGATGGCCACTTAGCTGCCTCTGAAAGTCCCAGTGATTGACATGTAACTTCTCCCCAAGATTGCAAAGTCTCATCCAACAGACAGGTGATGAGAATAGAGAAATTGGTCTGCAAGTTACCAGACCATTTTCTCTTGACTTATTTGCAAGGAAATTTTTGGCAGCCAGAAGGGTAGAATTACTTAAAATCAGATTCAAAGAGTTGAAATTCTCTTATTAAGATTTCATTGGATCTGCGATTTTTCCCTTAAGAATCTTATCCATGAGACATGGGTGTAAACTTAAATCTGAAAGACGTTCTTAAGAATACCTTTTTCACCGGGGGAGGGGTGCTCGCTTTTGGTATTTCATGTGATACGGATGTCTTAGAGTGTCCAGTCCCTCTCACTCTGATGTCATCAATTAGGATCTGTCTGTTAGGTATCGTGAAACCAAATTCCCGAACGTATCTACAGTAATAAATAGAAAAAAAAAATTCAAGATTAAATTAAGGGGGAAATATACATGAAAAGCCAAAATCATTTTAGTATAAAAGTCTTTACCGTTCCTTAAACGCCTGTCCAAAATCACCATGGCGACAGGTTTCTCCTTCCTAGAAAAAGAAAGCAATCAATACTACTTTTTCTTGATTCCCGTTTGGTCGCGACTTTCCTTATCAATGGACATCGTAAATGACGAAACTTTTCACTTAGAGCAAAAAAGACGCAGAATTGTTTTTTAAACCAGGTTAAGCTGGAGACGAGGTAAACAAAAAAATCCTACCTTTGTGTCTTTCTGAGGATCAGCAGTACACATGAGCGCGCAGTCTGTTCCACTGTACCGCATATGAAGGAATGCTTCTGTGGAGATCTGGTTCCTTAAAATTTTTTAATTAAAGTAAAACGTAATTTAGGGCTTTTAAGTCACTTGGGACAAAGTTAAAATTTGGGGTCATGGAAATTCGAACCCACCGTTGAGATTGTTTGCCGGATGCCCAGCTACTAAGCAAAAAGAGTACGCTTTGGCGATTGATATCAAATACTGTGGTTCATATGTGGCCAATTTCTTACTTACTGCCGGCATCAACTTTGACCAAGGCGTCTTGCCAGAAGATAGAGTAAAAGAGATTGTAAATTTCGAGCTAAGTTATTGCACCAAATCAAGATTTTATTTTATTTGTCCAATCAGTCAAGCCTCATTATAGCACACTGAAAACGTCAAACTACCCTTTCGCATTCCCAACAACACTCATCGGAGCTCAACCCCTATAAAGAGCAAAAAGGGAAGAGTTTAGGTGCTTAACTATCAGCTCCATGGTCCAGCTCTTAACTTCTTCCTTCCACGCCCTGCACAGGGGTCGACCCTGGTACCCAGAGAGAGTGTCCGCTCAACTTCTACAGGGCGCGTAGAGGGAAAAGGGTAAGAATCAGCCATAAGGTTCTGGAATGAATGATCGATCACTATCCTGCTCGGTAGACATTGTAGTTCCTTTTTCTTTTTAAACACCCTTCCACTAAAAGTGATTGATAGAGTGACCACAGTTTTATCTGTGAACAACCGAACCACGAAATGCTGGAAAGCAACACTTACTCTTCAAACCCTTGGCTTCTAAGTTCCTCGACACACTTCTGCATCAAAAAGTCAATTCTTTCATCCAAATAGCCAAACGACTCTGTAAAAAAAAAAAAAAAAAAAAAAAAAAAAGAAAAGACTCTGATCAATGTAGACAACGGCGAATAACAACTCGTTCTTGTCACCTAAAACATTTCGTAGAAGTGCTGGACGTTTTACTGAACTCAAATCATATAAAAGAAACATTAGCCTGTTACCTTTATTGTATTCACGTACACACGGTTCCTGCGCCTCGTGAACCACATCTGCTAGTGCCAGTCCGTACGCGGACAGAATACCACCAAATCTGTTTGAAAAAGTTATGTCAGTTCTCGGTTTATTTGTAATAATGGATTGATTAAGACGACATTTTACTCAAATATTAGCCTTGAGTTACAGTTCTAACAGTCAAGCTCTCTCGAGTTAATTTGCACAAAACTGATTTTAACTTTCAGCTAGTTTTCAACATGAATGGAGAGAGTACGTTTCTAAAGAAACTGTGGTGCTGCATCGGTGGGGTGTATTACAAATGCTCTTTCACTATTCACAAAGAGGGCGGTAAAGCCAACAACCCCATACGTTAAATCTTGTCATTGCCGTAAAAACGTATCTTTGTTCTATATCTGTGTAATCCTGACCCAGTAGAGTGTCGAATGCCAAAACGTAAATGAAGGCGCTTTTAATACCAAACCCAACGGAATTAAGACGGCCAATCAAATCAATGAAAAAAATTCCACAAAGAGCCAATGGGAACTCAGAGTGAAAACCAAACGCGTTAAAGTTTTACAAGAACAAATAAAAAAGATCAGTGAAGCAAAAGGATAGCAATTCAGAATAACTTCCGGTACTCAATAGAAAGTGCTCATGGACCAAAAAGGCGGTTGAGGCGAAGAATGACAAGTGCTTTCCTCTTTTTGCATGAATTGCGAAAAGTTGTTGTTTTCTCCTCACCGGTGAATGAACACAGATGACATTCCGAGGGACCGTGCAATGGAGCAAGCATGCTGGCCACCGGCCCCACCAAAACATGCCAAAACATGACGTGAAGTGTCATGGCCTCTGGCCTCAGTAAGCGCTCTGATTGGTCGACACATGGTCTCGTTAGCAACTGTAATGAAGCCCATAGCAACCTGTTCCACCGTCAAAGGATCCTTCTTTGCGCCGTCGTCCTGGGAGGCCAGGAATTCATTAACCTGGAGAAGAAAACAGACGAAATTAGCTGACGAAATAAGTTAATAACATGGGGCAGTTTAAATGAAACAGTGATCCAATGGGTTTCAACAATAATCTGATATTGCACACCATCCTCTACAAAAATTAGATGTAAAACCAAACCTAACCTCGACGTGGTCACTCGCGTTTTCTCGCTTAAGGTTCATTATGCTGATCTGTTCTAAGGTTGTATGGGATTCTTTTGTTATATTTGTTTCTGTTTGGCTAATGTAAACACTTTCGTTTTGGTTTCACGGCACTGAATAGAAAAGCGCTCTACAGGGGAACCTGAAGTAAAGGGAACAGTATGCTAAAATTTCGAAAACTGGAAATGGCCATCAAAAGGTTCCTCTTCTACAACTTCCGGTTTTCCAAAGACTTTTTTTGCAAACATTCCCGCACCCTTTAGCTCGGCCTGAAAGACAACTAATTGCTTCCCAGCAGACAGCTCTGGTATCTGTCATCTTGTAGGATCTTTTAAATTTTACAATACATGATTGTTTAAGAAACTGTTTGCTGTGTGACTTCTTAGCGTGTTTGTTTCCTTTTTGAAATGGCGTAAACGACTCTTTCCTTACTTCAAGGAAAACATTAATCTCGTAGAAAGTAATACCAAAACATGTATGTAAATAAGTATCTTACCTCTTCTGTTAACTTCTTAAAAGCTGCCCGAGAACCTTCGAAATCCAATGGTAAGTCTTCGTTTTTACCGAAAATCTTTGGAAAAAATCTGTTGAAAAGGGGGATACAAAGACAGTGATATTAAACATTAACCACTAAACAATAGTCTCTTAATTTTAAACCCATCGATGCCTACATGTAATAGAACATGAAGCCAGTCGAATCAATACAAAGCTCTATTGTGATAAGGTTATGGCTACGTGAAATATACTGCAGAAACTTAGCAACGAAATTATAGTTGCTGAAACTTGTAACTGGCCCGTGGCATCAAAGAAGACGGCGAAAATCTGGGAAGGAGTCCCACCGTTTTTTCCTTCCCAGACTACACCTTGCTCGCCTTCTTTCTTCATAGTCTTCCAGTGAGAGCATCCGGATAACCCTTGTTAAACCATAAATTTGTTAATTTCTGTAAAAAAGCTATGATTTCATAAAAGAACAGCATATACGTCATACTCAGGTAGAATCCTGCAAAGCACCAGGTTTGCATCTGTCACAGCCAATGGACCACCTAAAATTAACAGATTTTGAAATTGCTTCTTTTAACTTTACCTTCTAAACTCTTGGCTAATTCCAATTATAATGAGTCACCATAGACGGGTGTTGATAAAGGCATGGAGAGGGAAAAGAAGTCACAAAGTTCCCTTAGAGGATGGGAGAGAGAAGGAGAGAGTGTTGTGTGATGAGCCATGACCCTTTAACACCTAAGAGTGACTAACATCTAATTTTTTAATTCCTTCTCCTGAATCAAACATTAAGGTCATGAGAATAAAGGAGATGATCACCGATAAAAGGAGCTTTTGATTGTTGAACAAATTCTCCTTGTCAGAACCCTAGGAAATGTCTGGAGAGTAGTAAGGAGAATATTCATACTGACGTTAGGGAGTAAAGGGTTAAAGATGGCTTGCAAGGAGACCAGGTAGAAAAAGGAGAAAAAAGCAAACCATCTGTTCTTCCTTTCTGTTCTACTTGTGAGCATAAACTCACCTTTTCGGTAACAAACAGGTCCTGGATGGGCACTGGCTGACTCAGGTCCAACAACAAATAGCCCCGCCCTGAAAAATAGGCGAGATCCACCTCCTGCTGCCACAGTGTTGATGTCCAGCTACAAAAACAATTATCACAAAAAAACAGTCTTTCAAGACCAGTTCATATTAACAAATTTCGGTTGGTAACTCAGTCCACTGATTTCTCTGAGTGGTTTTTGAATAGGCCATTTTACAGTTGTGTACTTAGTTTCCAGGCCTTTGGTTTGGAGTGAGGCTGAAGTTGACCATGTTGTGATAGAGACCAGTATGTACTTAGCATGATTACATTAGAAAAACAGTGAGGTTTGTATCATAACAAGGTCACCCTTAGCCTCATTCCTGTTCAAAGGCTTGGCAACAAAGCATGCAACTGTAAAATGGACTATTCCAAGGAAGGACTACAATTTTACTTTTTAAAATTCAATGAGTAAGTTGTCATAATTGTATACTTTGAAGTTTTGACTCCAAAAAAGATAAACTTGTGTGAGTACCAGACAGACCAAGATACATCTCTTGCTCTGGTTTGTTTGGCGACCAGCATTTCAGATGATATCATGTTACTTTTAATTAAGTTTTCCCTTTTCTAGTAATATCTGAAAGTATTTGATTAAATGAAGAATTGATTGATAACAGAACAATTCACACATGAAACTATGGTTGTCAGAATTCAGAGTTCTTGAGATACCACAATGAGAAAGAATGAAAATTATCAAAACCAATAAAAAATTACATCACATCACCAGCTAGAAAGCTTTACAGGATGTTGTACTACCTTGTTAAAGCAGAATGAGAGGTTGCATTCTTTCCAGTACAGACCCATCCCTTGATGGGCCTTTTGTTGCTTCACCACTCATACACAGCAATAAAAACCTGTTCACAAGCTACAAATTAAATGACTTCTTAGATGGCCCTCATACCTGCGGTGCCTGTATAGTGATTCCTGCTGTTGTTGTCTCAAACACATGTTCATATTGACCAGCAAATCGAGACACATCTGTTGATGTTCCTGAAGAAAAAAAACTGTATAGTTACTCACCAGTACGCAGCTGCACAAAAATACTTAACTATGGCATTACATTACTTTGGTAAGAATTATATGGGAATATGTTGAAATTTAAATCTAGGATGTGAAGAAAGTCTGGCTAGGACAAATTACTGTTATAGGAGACACTGCATCACTAAAAAAATTCTCACTGAATCATCTCAATCAATGCAATTTGGGACTGCACTCTTTCTTCAAACATTTGGTGTGATATAATTAAATTGAAAATAGAGACACATTCTTAACACTACTTTTACCATCATTTTAGCTGTAACAAATTTCCAGTAAAAATATCAGACCTATTCAAGATCAAATAACATGATAATGTTTTATTCTTTTATTACCTCCCATATCAAATCCAATGACTGGTTGCTCTGTCTCTCTGTGAAAAGTTGTCATTGCATAACCAACCTGCACAAAAAGCAAACTTTATTATCCTTTTGGAAAAAAAAGTCAAATGAATAAAACTTTGGAACCTACCACACCACCTGCAGGTCCAGACAAAATGGCCCTTGATCCATAAAACCTGCAAAAACACATTACAAATTACTGTGCAATTTATTGGAAACATGTTAAAATGTCCAGTGGATATCACTTCCTTAACTGCACATACTGTAAATGACAATAACAACATAATAACAATATTAATAACAATAATAATAATTAATGGATTGATCAACAAAATGGCAATAATATCAATGACTTATAAACTTTGTTGACACTGTTCATTTAATTCAGGTTGAGGTAGAAAGCTTAACCCTTTAGCTCTCATTAGTGACAAAGACAGAATTTCTCCTGACAATATTAATATAACATCAAGCAGACAATTGATGAGAGTAAAGAAGAATATTAACTTAGGGATTACTAGTTGACCCAATACCAAATTCTCCAGACTAACATCACAAGAACTCTACAGCAGACAGTAAGGAGAATTACTCACGAGATCTTGTGAGTTAGAGGGTAAAGTATAATTATACACTAAAAAAAACATTGCATGCTTTTCTATAATTTACCACTTACTTTGACACAGGAGTCAAGCCACCATCAGACTGCATAAACAACACTTTGTCCTGCAAAAAGATCAATCATAGAACAATCATAAATTACCACATGACTGTAATACAAAAATTACACTGCACTTCACAATCTACATTGTTATCAAAAGCAATGGCAAATTATTAAACACACAACATGACAATGACACAAATAAACCATCCTGTCTTGGGACAAGGTTCCTCACCCAACCCTTCCCAGAAATATTTGCACTCTGTGATTTCACATCAAGCTGCTCTGAGAGTGGATAAAAACACAGCTTTCTTAAAATGAGATATTATAATGATTGAAGTCCCAGAGGGATATGTGAACTGGCATGCAGTGAGAGAAATCTAAATGCTATACCTGCCCAGAACCTTATTTTCATCAGGTTTGGCCAGTGGCACAAGTTACCTTTCCTCTCAAACTTATTGGATATATATAATTTTTGCACATACAGTAATCAACCAACCAACCAACCAACCTGGATGCCATCTTGAAAGCCAGCTGTAAATCCTCTGATATATTTCTTTATACAAGGGGTTAAATAAGCATCGGCAGAAGCTACACATTGTAAATCAAACTCAAATTCAATATGTTGTTAAAAAGCTGATGATTCTGATGATTCTGAAACCACAAGCTCTTCATGCAAAGGAGCAAATAATAATGACTGTTGTAACTTGCTATTGTAAAGAAAACTAACCTGTGTAACCTCGGGGTACAATCCTAACCATGGGCATTATTGTAGAAGAGAGTGACACCTGATCAAAACCCATCTCTAGGGCAATTTCACCAACTTCTCTTTCATGTACATCATACCTGAATATGTGACAAATAATACCTGGTAAGATTTAACACTTGAACTTCCATTAGGGAATTATCAGTTATTGAGTAACTTCTCCAGACAATTATCCAAGAAACCATTTACAACCATAGATCCCTTCATAAAATGGCTGTACACCAATGTTAACATTACTTTTCATATCATTCTAAAGGGCACACTAGAATGTAAATGATTGCCTAAATCAAAATTATTGAAATGGTCTGGGTTGCCTTTCTTCCTTAGAGTGGGTTAAAATAACTTTTTAAAGGAAGCTCTAACTGCTGTAACAAGTTGGCCCTAAACTCGTATTATGAAGATCCTTTTGCAAAATAATAGGAAAATGGGAACCAAAACATATAAAAAGTGGAAACAGATCCAACCAATATTTACATGTTGGCCCTAAACTTGTATTATGAAGATCCTTTTGCAAAATAATTAGGAAATTGGAACTGAAACATAAAAAGTAGAAACAGATCCAACCGATATTTACATGTTTGGATTTCCAGGTGAGCACCATTTTGGATTGTTTGGCATAGACTAGTTGCCATCATTATCATTATCAAACAATGCTACAGTTCACAAGAGTCACTAAAGGATCATGCATGTAACAGAAGCAACCATAAAACATTTCATAATCAAACATGCCAGCATGCTCAATTCCAGTCCCCTTTATGAGATATATACTTACATGTAAGAGTGCATGAGCACAACAGCTAAACTCTTGATTCCTTTATCAAGGACTCTCTGTAAAAAAATATAGTTTTCTTCAAGTGTCAAGTTTTCTTCATTTGTACCTTTACTTGTATAATGTCGGTGAAATGACAAATGCAGGATTCCACTACTTTTGAGTGATATTACTTGTATCTAGTGCATATCTATTCAGTAATAATTATATTAAAGTCAGTCATAATTACTTGTTATAATAAAGATGTTATACTTATAATAAAAATGTTATACTTGTTATAATTATACATGATAATTCTCTCAGTTGATCCAGATAACGAAGTTCAGGTTGATAGACTGTCAGAAGATTACCTGTAGGTCTTTTCTAAGCTTTCCTTTGTCCAAAGGTTCCCACTCTTCAAGCTACAAAGAAAGATATATATAGTAAGCATCCATCATTTTCTTCATGTGTATAAGAATGATTTAATATCTTATTTAAAAAATTGGGTTAATAGGCCATTTCTCAGTTATGTACACAGTTGCCAAGCCTTTGATTTAGAGTGAGGCTGAGGGTGATCTTGTTGTGATAAAGACCAGTATTTAGTTTACATGATAACAAAGTTGTTTATATTTGAAAAGCAACAAGGTTTGTATCATAACAAGGTCACCCTTAGCCTCACTCCTGTTCAAAGGCTTAGTAACCAAACAACTGTAAAATGGACTATTTTCAACTGGACATAACAAGTAAACCAGGTAGTATTTGCTTTGATTTTAACTATGCTCCAGGATTGCTTTAGAAAACTTGTATTTATCTCAAACCAACGAGATGCAAAAAAAAAAGTACAGACTTGTTTACTTGCATTTTCCTATTTAAATTTTAATATCAATCAAATGTTAATATCAATAAAATGTATGAAAAATCATTTGAAATTCTGTCAAAGTGGTAGGAAAAAAAAGGAAGCATTTTAGTGGAATTTCTGAAGCCAAACTAGAATTCTGGAGGAACTGTAAATTATAAAAGGAAAGTCACAATTTTAATGTTTGTCATAAAACTATTTCTTTTAAATCTGAAATTAATTCATTGCTATCTGCCACACACACCTTTTGCCCAGTACTTCCAGACACTATTTTACAGTTTTGTGGTCTTTGAATTTTACTGTCATCTTGCTCTAAAACCAGTCTACCTTTCACAACAATAACATCTTCATGCAGTACCTCTGGACATATAACTTTCTGCAAAAGAGCAATTAGTCATCAACTGTAAGAAATCATATATCAACAAATTTCTCTTTAAATTTTAATCCAATCTTAAGTGCACAGGTACTACAATCTTCAGTTGAGAAAGGCTCAATGGAAGTTTTGCAATCATGCAGTTTTGACATTCAAATCGTGTTGTTGTCATCCAGCACCTGGCTGTACTTCCAAATGCCTAAACAAGTGTTGATGGCATAGGAAAGCCTCTAGCAACCTTCACTCAAAATGAAAACACTTCTTTTTCCTGTTTTAAAAGGATTACTTACTAAATCAAATATATTAGGTCTTGTCTGATTGCCAATATGCAACAAATCATGGAATCCTTCAGTAATAACCAGAGCCATTCTTTCTCCCTTTCGTTCCAACAGAGCATTTGTAGCCACTGTGGTCCCCATCCTTATCCACTCAATGTACTTTGGATCAATTGGCTGATCTGCAGGCATCTTTACTCCTGTCACCTGAAAAACAACAGTTATCCACTCTCCATTAGTCATATAATTGAAAGCATTGGGAATTCTACCAAATGATAAAACAAGCTCCCCAAATTTTCAGGGGAGACAAGGGAAAAATTTCCACACAGCCCTATACTTCATTATGTATCCACATCTTACTGGTGATACACTAAATAATAAATCCCCATATATGGATACATAAGGAAGTACGGGGCTATGCGGAAATTTTGCAGGACCCTGTTAACCATTAACATGTATGGATAATTTGGTGTCATCAACTGCATTGATAAATGTAAATTGTCCACCATCAAGATTTTCTAAAGCTGATGTTTCAATTGTTCGTCCCACACCAGAGCAAATGCCAAAGTGTAGTTGATGTTTCTTTGCAATAAAAGAAATATTTACATTTGTTTCATTGCAAGGAGGCATGATCTAGTCCTGATTCTTAGTTATGTATGGATGGTTGATCAACTCCTCTAGCTAGGAGTCTTAAGAATTTTTGAAAGCTCTTTACTAAAATATTTTTAAATCACTGGTTTGTGTCACTGATACCAGACACGGGTCATGGTAAAAAAAAATATCAAAAAGTAGAAAACGATACAAATAAATACCAAGCTTAGAATCAAAAAGTCTGTAAAACCATCAAGGTATAATATATAGATTTAGCCAAGCCTAAAAGCGGAGCTCGCATTTTTTTTTCCCGCACGTTACTATTACAACAGAATAACCATAAAGCAATAAATTATATTAGCACTGGTAACGGCGTGACGATCTTCAATAGGTCAACTATTGGCAAGTTTAAGTTATCTCTTCAAGCTAAATTTAAAAATCCTGCCAGAGTTTTTAAATCTCGATAACTTCTTCCACGATGCCTAGTCACGTGACCAAATTAACTGGTACCTATAGAGATTGCTGAGTTAATCCAGGTTGTTATATTTCTCGCTTTTTTATAGCTTAAGGACAAAGAAACACTTTTACCTGTTCTAGAATCCGTCTTATTCCTTCCCTAGGTGCATCAGGATATGCAGGATCAACTGACAGCAGCTTCATCACTCTTACTTCTCCGTTGGGACATTCTGAGTAAACGTCTGTGAAGGTCCCACCTCGATCGATGGCGAACCTGAACTTGTCACGATTCTCGCCGGGCGAATCTTGGCGGTTTGACATTCTTCAAACTCACTAGCACTTGAAAACTATTGTGTGTACAAAGTATTGAAACCAGTGATACTAACAGAGTTTGTAAACTCTAGAAGGTACATGACCAGTCTCTCCTGAAACTGACAAATGAACTGGTAAGAGCGTCGTTATTTATCCATTCGTGTCGTGTGACCTCACTACGTAAATCAGGGACTGGTGATATTACGTCAGAGCGCGTGACAAGCACGAGATCACACAACAACTCAGCCATTGTCTCGTTTCACTCGTAAAGGCGAGGTAATTTCGAGGATTTTAATCATCTAAATCAAAAGGCCCCTTCTATCAGAACCTTAACTGGTTAACATAAAAACCTTTGTTTTACGAGGTACGTTAAGAAAGATCATCAGGATAAAGATGAAAGACTGAACCCTTAGAGGTATTTTCTCGGAAAATGAAACTTAATCATAAGTTTTGAAGCAAACAACTCGTGACTCAGTCGTGATAGCAACAAGTACTATTCTCGTTCTAGAATCAGCACATATTGAGAATTAAGAGGATTAAATTCCATGTGGTTGCCATCGTTGAAACTTTAATTACTGAAGCTTCTAATTACCCATTACTGAGCATACGTTATTTTTTGACCAAACAAATTTTATAAAAAGCTTATATAGCAAAATAAGAAAAGATAAATGAAAGTAAAATGTAATAACATTTTAATATTAATTTAGTATTGAATAATAAAGAGAGGGTTGAGTTTTAATTTTATTAATTCATTCTTTTTTTTCGCTGCTGTCCAAGCAGTACAAAATTTTTGAGACAATTGCCTGTTGAGTGAGACCCACTTGTGGATTTCTTTCTAGTGACATGCAATCCAAAAATGTCAGAAAAGGCCATAGAAGGAGCTTCTGTCTTTATTTAATTATAAAGTAATTGTACAAATTGTTTCTCAAATTAGGCAATAAACATTTCTCAAACACAGTAAAGGAATTTTAACACGGAAAACTGAGCTTTTCAATACTTCGTTTAGCAATACATCCTGAAACTTCCAGATTATGCCATTTCTATATTTTTAAAGCATTGTAGTGTAAAATGTATAACTGGCTTTTGACGCTCCTTGCACCTTTCCTTGGTAGTTCTTTTGAAGTTGAAAATGAGCAATACCAATACCTATACAAAATTTTTGCAAAACCAAGAATTATCTCCTTAAAGATGAAATTATTTCTCATTTGAACTTTTAACTTGAGAATGGAACCAGAGATCTTTCAAAAGGGCAACTTTTTCAAAAGGTTGAAACCACAAAACCATCCCAGAAAGGTAAAAAGGTGCCATTTTTTCCATCCAAGCTTCCTCATATCTTATGTTTGCCAAAACAAAAAGAAACTGGCTGAAATAATAATTGCATTGGAAATTTGTTGATAGTTGCTTGAATAAAATTATCCTCTTTCAAAGTTTATCTTAACTCTCCCAAGCTCACTGAGTCAGCATCTTTCGCAGTACAGGAGATGCAAGATTCTTTTCACCTGCCTTTTCCTTTCGTGGCTCAGTGATGATTTGTACTGACTTCTCCTCAGGGCCTGATTTCATTTCCCCAGTTTCTTCATTAGCAACAAACTCAACCTGACACCAAGTACCATGTCCACTGGACTCAATAATGGCATCAAGGACAGTTCTGGTATAAAGGCCTGCAATTTGAAGAAACAGTCATCACAGTGTTAATTAAAAACACCTGTAATGGAATGAAGTTGTTCTCATCCTCTATTGATTCTGACCTTGTATTGAGCTAAGAAGCAACATGCTAATTATAGAGGGCCACAAGTTCATCAGCTTTGGCTATTTAGTTTAAAATCCCTAATTAAAGTCTTTTTTTATTAATATTATTATTATTATTACTATTATTATTATTATGCCTTCATTAAAAAAAAATTTGATTCTTAATCTATGATTTCTTGTCACAAGTTAGACAAAAAAAATCAAGCCACATGTTAATTGTGTTAGCTACTGATTTTTTGAACGCATAAGTAGGCAGTTGTCTGAGAAAGAGTCCTGCAACTCGGTGTCTTCCCATACACAATGTTGATAAAACAAATTGTGAAAAACACAAGGGTAGATATTCTGCCAAGTCAAGTGCATCTTTTAAATAAAATAACTTCCACACTACACCATATGGAATTTTGACCCACCAGTTTTTTTCAAGGGGCTCAGTCCCTCCCCCCATCCCCCCCCCCCATTCCCCATACCCCTGTGCCTTCTCTTCTACCCATGTATTATCCAGGATATCAAACTGACCATCATGAAATGAAGCTGCACTGGAAATAGTCTGCAGATCAGCAATTCTTCGATCATCTTTATCAATGGATTCTTCAAATGCTCTTTTTATCTCTGACACCCACACTTCAAGACCTGTCAGAAAGATACTGGGTGGGAGTTTCTCCACATTGAACATACCCGGGATGCGGGCAATGTCTCCATAAATGAGTTCTTCTTTGCCACCATTCTTCATTCCATATAAACTACCATTCCTCGCGATCAGCTGCCCCTTGGTACCGTATATAGTGACAGTTTGAGAGTAACGTCCTGGAATGTGGGCATTAAGAGAAACTGTCGCAAAAGCCCCTCCATTCAGTTTCATCTGAAAAGCTGTATAGTCATCACTGGATATATGACGAAAGCCTGAAACCTCATCTGTTTGAGGAATGAAGGTTTTTAGAGTACCATGAACTTCTACAGCTCTTTGGTTGGTTAAGAAGGAAACAAGATCAATGATGTGGGCCCCAAGATTGGTCAGCACCCCACCACCCATGGCCTGATCACACATCCAGGTGTAATTGTTACCTAGCAATGAACCCATTTCAATCTTACACTCGCAGATTAGTGGCTTGCCACAAAAACCTTCCTCCACGTATCGCTTCATTTTGATAAAGGCGGGAAGAAACCTGAGTTCGTGTTTGACAAGAGAAAGAAGCTTAGGATAATATTGAGCAGCCTGGACCATTCTCTCAGCTTCATCCTTGCTAAGACCTACAGGAGAATCACAGAGGACGTGTTTTCCGATAGAAAGAGCTTTCACCGCCACTTCAGCTCGAACGTGAGGTGGGCAAAGCACACACACTAAATCCACGTCTTCACGCAGAAGTAATTCGTCTATTTTAACTGTATGGAATGGAACTTTGTACTCCTCCGCCATCGTCTTCGCTTGCTGTTTTGAAGCACCCCATATTCCACTGACTGTAAAACCGGCTGAGCGTAGAAGCGGCAGAAGTATACGAGATGAGTTCCCTGTGTCAACGACACCGACCGAGGGAAGCATTTCGATCTGTTACAGAATTATAATCACGGCGAAAAGAAAAGGTCATTGGCTCGCAGCTGACGGCAGTCATCTTATTTACTTCTCGGTAGGGACTGGGTTGAGACAAACCGAATTTTGATCATCCCCCCTCCCCCTTCCTCCTCATCTTTTTTTTTGTTGTGTTGTGTTTTTGTTTTTTGTTTTTTAATATAAAATAATTGTAAGGGTCTTTTTCAGGATTTCTTTCCCGACCCTTTATTGAACGAGTTTTATAACATTAGCCCAGCTTAGTCAAACAGCTAGGTTTAACTTCTGATCTAACAAACAAAAAGGCTTGATGTGAAAAAATACATTTACAATGTTTCTATTTAGCGCTTGGTCCGTGTCTCACACTTTTGAAAGCCCCTCAACATTCATTGACATTTGGTAGCCTTTTTTTCCAAATGACACAACTGATTAAATTTCCTCTCAGCCAGAAAACGTCTTGAAAGAAATTAATTCGAGAAAATATTTGGATTAGCCCTTATGAAGCCGTACCCTCCCCTTCCCTTCCATTCCACTCTGTAGGGAAGGGTATGGTTACACGTGAGCTACAATTGGACGGACTCTCCCCAGACCTACCGGTTAGAACACTTATAAACAAAAACGAAAAAAGAAAAAAAAAAAAGGCCACGTCGAATGAGGCGAATAGACCTTTCAACCAAATGTAACCAGGCTAAAAATCTGACTAATATTTGTTGCAGTAATTACTTACTCTTGATTTAACTCTGTCTGTTCTGTTAATGTTAAAGGTTAAGTGATGGCTTGAAGCTCAGCCTGACAAAGTCCTCTTTCTCCCCTCGCAAATCATTTTAAAATTGCGAGCATTAGTTTCGAATTAATGATTATTCCAGGTTGTGACACCATAGTACGAGGTATTGCCAAAACAGGAACTGTCGAATAATCAAAGATCCAACTTGTTGACACAGCGAGATACAGGAATTTCGAAATAAACACTCAGCTGATCACGTGCCGTGTTTAACACCGTGAAACCACTGGTGGCAAGTACAAACTATCCGGTTCTCAGGTGATTTAGATCGGTTTGCGTATGTACTGTTCCTCATTGGTCTTCGGAATACTCGTTGCTCTCTCCATAGCCTGGCTTTTTGGTACACAGAAGGATAAAGAGCTTTTGATAAATAGTAAGTGGACTGCTGTTGAAAAAGCCTTTTAACTCTCTATGCAAGGTAGCCTATCTACTTCGAACCGGCTTATCCGATCCAAGCGAGTCATACATAATTTTCCTGTTGAAATTTTGGAACCGGTCATCGTTGATTACCTTTTAGTGCAACCAGCGCTCTATGCAGTTACAATCGTCTGATGTCGCTGAGGATCTTTCATCCTGTGCAATGTTGTCTACCCTTTCCTGCAAAGCTAACGAACGCGAAAAAAATTTTGGCGTTTTCGCTGAATTACCATCTCTTGGTCTGTTTATTGTTGCCTTACATGTTATTTTCAGCCAAATTTTTTTTCGAGGGAAGCGTAGGAAAACTTGTTCTTAAAATATCTTTTCATTTTATTTTTCTCTTTTTTTTGTCAACGTTGCAGTTGAAACAAGATATTTTCAGTATATCGAGTGATTTTGCTGTGTGCAATCCTCGATGATGTTGGCGTAGACGAACAATAGAATAATAGAATTTTAAAATTTGCCTTTTCAGAGAAGTAACAGGAAGGCAGATGTACAAATTTTCTATGTCAACTCTCCATTTAAAAGATTTGGAATAAGTTTTCTCCATCAATTACATTCCATAAAGCAACTTGTCTTAAACTAAAACGAAACTTTTTATTGCTTCATTAAAAAGAGAGGCATATTGGGTATCATTGCGACAGATGGATATTATTTACAAGTTATTTTTTGCACCAAAGAACGAGGCCAATATTTAGCCCAATTGCCTGAACAAGGCTGGCCAATAAAGAGAAATTGTTTTTAATCGACTTGTGTAGGCAGTTTTTTTATTGTCAGAAAGTATATTGTTATGATTTTTATTTTTATTATTGGGGCAGAATAGCGGGGAAATGAACCTAATTTTTGCCCATTTTTTTAGTCATGCAGATCATGGGAATAGCCTTAAATTGGTTCCTTGGGAAAACTGTTTTTTACAGTAAAAGACTTTCTGCAACGTTTCAAAAAAGCTTGTTTTAAGTGACCCTAAACTGTATCCATTTACCTGAAAAGCCATGTTATTTTCAGTGGCAACACTTGTAGAATCCAACCAGACACGCGACCAAATGACTGAGTTTTGGAACAAACACTCCATGGCTCAAAGCGTTGAGGAAATGATGTTGGACAGTAAGGCAGAAACCTTGACGCAGGATGAGCACCCAGAGGTCATGGGAATGCTGCCAAATATCAAAGGAAAAGATGTCCTGGAGCTGGGAGCAGGAATTGGGTAATTAATAAAAATATTTTCCAATAAGGTGTTGCTTTTTTTTTTTATGTGGGCTGCATGTTTTTGTGCTTGAATTTAAATAAGTTAATCTCAATTCAGGCAGAAAATTAGGGTTAAATTTCTTAAACCCTTCAACTTTCTCAATTAATTATCATGCAACTTCTCCCTATAATATCCTACATTATCCAGCAACAGGAATTGAGAATACTGAAACTTATCTGGTGGAAATTATTATCTTGATTTAATGCCAAATTCTCACAACTAATTTATGAGGAAATGTTTAGCAGCTAGAGAGAGCAGCAGCTAGAGGGGAGAATCAACAATCAGATCTGGAAAGTTAAAGGGTTACACTAGTTTGCTTTTTTTCTCTAGAAGTATGACCTACAGTGAATGTTTCCTTAAATATAATTGGTACTATATTTCCTTAAAGAACTGCTAGGCACTTACTTAAAATTTTGACTTAAAAGAGGGGAACTTGTTGGAAGGAAGAGGCTTAATCAAGGGGACCACTAAGAAATTATTATTATTAATTATTATTATTAATTATTAAGAAATTATTAACCTGTACTGATCACACTGTAGTTGAAGGTTAAATGGTTAAAAAAAATAAATTGGCAATAGAAGCAGGGTTTTCCATATAGCCCTATTATAAGAAAGTGAGGGAGGAGGGGAGTACTTGTGGCCTCAGGGGTAGGCACTTAGTTAGGGGAAGGTGCCTATTGGAGGGTGGGTGCTTATTTAAGGAAATACCGTATTTAAATCCCTATCAATCTCAGTGATATCAAATTTTCCTGTGTGCTGACAAAATGTTTGTGATCACTTTTCCAAAACACCAAACTTGAGCTTGTAAAATCTCCTCAGTTTCAATTTCTCTAAAAGACCACTTTATACAGGCAGCTGAATAGGCTTGGCATTTTGGGTGATTGCTAAAATAAAGTTTGACTATTAGTAAAGTCATCAAAAATTTTAGCACCTTGACAAACTTAGGGTATATAAAGCTTTCCTTTCTCATTGGATAGAAAAATTTGGGAACTTATACAGGCAATAGCCCTTCCCTTTAAATTAACTTACTTACCTTTTCTTCTATGTCAGGACTTTAATTGTGATTCATGTTGTGTTGCTATTGTTTCATCAAGTGTTGATCAGAGGAGCCTCTTGAAAACCACCTGTCTGGTGATAGAGGCTATCCTCCGCGCCCTGCGCTGCACTCAGAGTCAGTATGTACTTGACTGTTTGCTGATGAAGGTAAATATGTCATGGTACTGGTATCATCACATCCATAATGATGGATATTATTTAGTCTATGTTAAAAATCGTGCAATGATCTTATGATCTAGTATATGGGATTTTTACTGAAGCAAGATTTCTTAGTTTTGACCAAATCTGTATAAATCATTTAACTTAGACATGCTATTATTGTTAACTTCGGAATGTCAATTGATAAGGGTTCATATATTTAGATTAAAAAATCTTTCAATTACAGTACTTTGGATGATTGTTACATCTGTAACCACATAACATTTTTTAAGAGATAAGTCAATTCCCTTGGATTGATTAAATAGATTATTTAGTGAAACACAACACTAAGCAAACATATCATTTGTGGCATCTGTATTTACTGATTTGGAAATAATAATTGTGGCAATTTGGAACCATTTGGGTAGACATGGAAAACAACATGGAATATCCTTAAAGGAGAATTTTGTTGAGTGTACAGAGTAAAAGCACCAGATAAACTGATTGATGCATTATGAAAATATTCTCTTACAATATGTCACTATTATTGTGAAGAAAAAGTCCCGTAGTGTAACTGTTCCCATAGTAAGGCCACACTTGACTTGAAGCTGGATGCAACAGGTATGTCAAGACTGTGCCTTTTTTTGTTTCTTAACAGACGTTTTACTGGAGATATTGCACAGGAAGCTCGTCATGTTACTGCTGTTGATTTCATGCAGTCATTTACTGACAAGAACAAGGAAGTGAATGGCGCTAAGTTCAACAACATTGACTTTGTTTGTGCTGATGTTACAAAGCTGGAATTACCAAAAGGAAGGTAAATATCTCACAGTGAAACCATTTTATCAATATTTCCTCTGATGTTATTGAAAAGCATTATATAACAGTTGGAATTTTTACTGTCCAACTAAACTGGTGAACATCTATGGAAATGGATTAAACAAGGTAGCCTTGAGTCAGACCTTAACACTTTACACCTTAACATCAGAATGCATATTCTCCATACTGTTCTCTATACATTTCCTAAAGTGCTAAGAAGGAGAATTTTTTAACCATCAAGAGCTTCTCTCAGTGGTGATCATTTCCTTTATTCTTGTGACCCCAATGTTTGATTCAGGAGTGATGCAATAAAGAGAAACTACATGCTGGTCACTCTTAAGAAAACAGAAGGCTTTTTTTTTCTGTGACTGGTTAAATACAGTAGGGTATTCTAAGGAACAGGGTTGAATATGAGCTCTGTATATATCTCTTTATTGCGCTTGCAGACAAAACAGTGCTGTTAGATATTTACATATTAATTGCATGTATACATCTTACTTCACAAGTTTGAGGTCTATACTGAAAGTTACAGACCAAGATTTGTCAGCAGACAAAACAAGGTTCTGTAACTTACAGTACAGACGGAAAAGGAGGTTAATAAGATACTT